TTTGTGTCATCCAGGGTTTGGATTTTCTTTTGTTATTAATGTCTTTTATATATTTCTCGGCGCTAGTAACAGCATTCTTGACTTCAGTCCATAAGCCTTCTGTAGTTGGTGATAACTCTCTTTGGAGTCTTTCACATTCCTCGTTGAGTTTAGTCTTTACCATACTTTGTATATTTTCTTGTTTAAGTAAATTGATGTCGGTTTTTCTTTTGACAGTCTTTTTTAGCATTTTGAACTTTATTTTTAATTTAGCCACTAGTAGGTTGTGATCCGATGGAACATCTGTGCCTGGGTATGTTCTTGTATCCGTTACTGCATTTTTATATCGCTGGTTTATAATAATGTAATCGATTTGATTTCGGACACAATTGTTTTTATTATCTGCGGGTGATTTCCACGTATATAGCCTTCGTAGTGGTAGCTTGAATCAGGTGTTCATGATAGTTAGTTGTTTCTCCTGGCAAAATTGTAGTAGTCTGTCACCTCTATCAATGCGATTGCCCAGTCCGTAATTTCCACAAATATGTTCCACTTTTCCACAACCCACTTTGGCATTAAAATCTCCTACGATTAATGTTGTTTCATAACTCTTTGTCATTTTAAGTAATTCTTGGAGATTCTCATAGAACTGCTCTATTTCATCATCCGACTTGTCAGCAGTTGGTGCATAAACTTGGAGTATGTTTATGTTTACGGGCTTACTCTGTAATTTCAAAAGAAGCATTCGATCAGAATGGGGTATGAAATGAATTACTGCTTTTTTTATCTGCTCTGTTACTATAAGGCCTACACCATTCCAGTGTCTCTGCTGTTCGTTCCCCGAGTAGTATATTGTGTAGTCATCGATGGATACATTTCCAGAACCAAACCATCTCATCTCACTTATACCTAGTATGTCCACTCCAAGTCTTTTCATTTCACGAATGGTATTTTGAACTTTACCGGGTTCAAACATACTTTGTACGTTCCAAGTGCCTATTCGTACCAAGGATTGGTTATTAATAGTAGTAGTAGGATCTGGTTACCCAAATTAAAAAAGGAAGTTATTTTAAAAGGAAAATACCAGTATTAGTAAGTCAGTAACAATTAGTCATTTATGTTTTTTAAATAACAAATATATAAAGTCAGAATTTGGTATTTATTGAAGGTAAACTAAATGCACGACCAAATACTTACCATGTCTAGATAGTATTATGAGAATTTTTCCTAAGATTTCCCTCATAATTTACTATAGAATCACTAACAGAAGAATTTTACTGTCATCATGATATGTGTTTGAACGAATGAACTATCAAGTAAAGTCGTCCCAGGAACGCAACTCAACAATATTGGCCATATCATTTTATAGTCGTCTACTTTGAAATGTATAATGTATGTTTGAATTGTCAATATAAATGAGTCATATACCATTAAATTATTAGAAGAATTTTTCACCAAGTAACAAAAAAACAAAAATTGTTTAATTTACTAATGTTTGTATTTTAAGAACGATTTCTGAAGTGGAAATTGAAACGTCAATAAACGTACTTTTAAATATTAATTATCAGCTAAATGAGGAAAGAGAACATATAAGAAACCAGAAAGTTGCTAAAGAAAACGCTTTTCAGTGAGAATGTCAATTTTGCCACTTCTTCTCCCGGGGAAGTACGCTATCCCCCTCGAAGGGCGGTGGGCAATAGAAAACATCGATTTACGAAGAATTTGCACGCCGCAGAAAAATTATTTCAAAGAAGAAATATAGCTGAGATAATTTTGAATAAAAATATTTATTAGCACTTTTCGTGTATAATAAACCGTTCTCTCAGAAACAACGCTTGAAGTTACCGGTGATTTTGAATGTCAATTACGCACGCGAAATCAATTTTGTAAAAAAATTGTATCAACTCGACGGTAAAAAATTAATATCTATTGATTACTGTCGTATTGACTAAAATTAAAATGCATTTTAAAGATGAAGAGTGCAGTCTTCGTATGCATTTTTTGCATTTTGCCGAAAATGATGTCAGTTTCTATAGATCTGTTAGGTAAATTAACGTTGCGCGATTTTTTGAAATTTCCGGTCGCTAAGATTTCGATTGTTAGGGCCTAATCTTCAAAACCTATAACAGTAAACTTCGATTTTGAGTTTCGGAAACAAATATGAGGCATTTGGAATACGCCTAAAATATTCTGAATTTAAACTTTCACATTACAAATGATCTCACGTCACGAGGAATGCTTCCACGAGGACTAAATAAGTGAAATTTGTACCTAATGTTGTGTAGTTTCAATAACCGTACTTGAAAAGAAGCAGTTTTAAATGTTGTAGATCGTTTTTATTGTGAATATTTAAATTCAGCGTTTTTAGGCATATTTCAAATGGCTCATATTTGTTTCTCAAATTAAAATTTCATGGTATATGTTTTAAAGATTAGTCTCTAACAATGGAACTTCCAAGCATCCGGTCAATGGAAGTGATACGTTGATCTCATGAGAATCGTAATAAATGGTAAAAATCCCGTAAAGTTTATTTAAAAGCTTTTGTTTATTTTGTTTTTGTTGATACGACACTCTAATCAAAAGACCCTGGAAAAAATGGACATGACACATAGTAGCAAAACAGCATGGAACCTTGTAAAAAAACTCAGCGGTGATCCAAAAGGTTACAGCAAACCAAGTCGCTACTCAACTCCTTACGAATGGAAGAACTACTAACCGATATAAGGACCCAAACACTAGGAGAAGATTGGATTCGGAGACAAACCACCTAGGAACTCCTTTTACACTAAAAGAACTCCACGACGGTCTGAACAGGTTAAAAAACGGGAAAGCTGCAGGTGTGGATGATATATGCAGTGAACAAATAAAGCATTTAGGCCAAGGAGCAAAAAAATGGATCTTGCAATTTTATAACACGTGCTGCAAAACCTGCAAAATTCCGAAATCATGGAGGAAATCTAAAGTAATAGCCTTGTTAAAACCAGGAAAGGATCCAGAAGACCCCAGTAGCTACAGACCTATTTCGCTATTGTGTCACTTTTTTAAACTATACGAGAGACTCATACTCGCCAGAATAGAAAAAAATGTCAACAAGCACCTCATCCCACAACAAGGAGGATTCAGACCTGGCAAATCTTGCACCGGTCAAGTCCTCGCATTAACAGAACACATTGAAGAGGGCTTTGATGAAAAACTTATAACAGGGGCTGCTTTTGTAGATCTGACAGCAGCCTATGACACAGTAAGGCACAAAACATTGCTCCGCAAATTATACGATACTCTCAATGACCACCATCTGGGAAAGGTCGTATATTCCTTACTGCAAAATAGACGTTTTTTCGTTATGCTGGAGTGTAAAGTAAGTAGGTGGAGAGTTCAAAAAAACGGCCTCCCACAGGGAAGTGTTTTAGCACCAATGCTCTTCAATATATACACAAACGACCAACCTACTCCGACCGAAACCAAGCAGTTCCTCTATGCTGACGATCTTGCAATATGTGCTCAAGGAAATAGTTTTGAAGAAGTGGAGGAGAAACTCGAAACTGCCTTAAAAATAATGACAGCGTACTACCTGCAGAATTCTCTGATACTCAATCCCTCTAAAACCCAAGTCTGCGCTTTCCACCTTCGCACAAAGGAAGCCAAGCAAAAACTCCAAATTGTGTGGAATGGTAATACATTACAACACACAAACCAACCTATATATCTTGGAGTAGCTCTGGACCGGTCCCTCACCTACAGACAACATTGCATAAAAACAAGAGGGAAAGTAACAACTAGGAATAGCATACTCAGAAAGCTAACGGGAAGTAAATGGGGCGCACGTCCTGGCGTTTTACGAACAACGGCACAGGCACTGTGTTTCTCAACTGCTGAATATGCATGCCCCGTTTGGAGCAGATCTGCCCACACCAAACAAGTTGATACTGCGCTAAATAAGACATGCAGGATAGTAAGGGGGTGCATGAAACCAATGCCACTTTCAAATCTATATAGAGCAGTGGGTTTTGCAGAACCCTCAACACGCAGAGGCGCTGCAGAGCACAGAGAAAATTAAACAGATCGCGGACGATCGAAATGCCCTAGACAAAGCTCGAACACCACGAAAGCGACTAAAATCTAGGAAAAGCTTCCTTGGAACAGTGAAGGACGAACCGCCTGAGTATTTTCCACTTCCCCAGGTTCAATGGACCGGCCAAACCCTAGACTTTAAAACGTGGAAAACCTTCAATAGGATAAGAACGGGGGTTGCTACAGTAAAATCAAACATGGCAAAATGGGGAAAAATAAACCAAGATGATGTGAACTGTGACTGTGGAGAAACACAGAATATGGAACATCTTCTTACATGCAAAAACTGTCCTCATCGATGTACCCTTGAAGGTTTGTGGCTCGCCAACAAAGATGAAACCGACGTAGCCCGATACTGGGCCAAAATTTTATGAATGACATGTCCGGACACGATAAAGTAAAGTAATCAAAAGATATTGAATTTTTACCATTGAGTTGATACAAATTATATGTAAAAAATTGAATTCGCATGCGTAACGGACATTTAAAATCGCCGGACGCTTCGAGCGTTATTTCTGAGAGAAAATTTCATTCTAAAGAAAAAGTGCTAATAAACATTTTTGCTGAAAATTATCTCAGTTACGTTTCTTATTTAAACAATTTTTTTCTACCGCGTAGAGATTCATGGTAAATCGATTGTTTCCGTTTTTCCTTTCTACGTGTTTTGAGATCGAATCTTTGACGATTGAACTAATTAAAATCGAATCGAGAATATTTTATTAACTTAAAAACATTTGATCGTGTTCAGTTTAAATATGTAGTGCATCTTCTCTACAATAAATTATGAAGTTACTCAACCAACTCTGGCTGGATGTTGGAGCCTCTATTTTGCTCAAGTAAATTAACAACATTTATTATCCCTCAGTTTGATTAGAGTATCATTTTTTATTTTTAGTACAAAGACAATTAAAATCATTGTTTAAAGTAAGATAAAGTATTTCAAAACTTACTGTTACAACATAGGACAATCCATCCCAAGTCATTCTAGCTACAGAGTCTTTTCGTCTTATGGAAGGTTCAGTTCGAACAGGTTCGGGAGGCACCGTGGTTGAATCTGGAATATCCGATGGACCGGGTAGTACATCAGGTCTTTCCGTCGTCAGCTGACCGGATCCTATCTGTGATGGAGGAGGCGCCGCCTCGGAGTGAGTACGTCGATGGTGTTGCGAAAAACGGCTGATACTCGGCGTACAATATTCTTCTTTTAAAGGACCCATTGTTCTGGAAAAAATCATTACACAATATTAGGTTGTAGTTAAATTAAAATAATAAAACTAAATTAAAACTTTTATTGTAACAACCAAGATATTAGCTCAATGTACAACTTCTCTGATAATTAGATTGTTGCCTCAATTGCATGTTGTTAAGCTATATGTCTGTAGTTCTGATTGAGTTTATATAAGAAAATAAATTCTATTTTATACATATTATAGGGTCTTTTTGATGGAATGGTTCTTTGTAACATGTTATTTGTACTCTATAGTTGTAATAATTCAGCCAATATATCGAGAGGCTTTTCAAAACAGAAAAAATGTTTAAAGGTAAGAAAAACTTTGATTTGATTATGCCCAGCTAAAGAATCACAATGACTGTCTTGACTATAACGCACACAAGCGTCGTACAAATACTGAAGTTTACAACAACAAAAAAAATCAAGACCAAACAAATAATATACAACATTTAGGAAGTGGTCAAAAACCGCGACTTTTGGAAGATTCATTTAGCTTATTAATATTCAACTTACGTTATAAGACATATTAAACAGAATATAAAACATTGGCAAGAGACGTTTACTAAATAAATTAAAATAGAGCAATATTTCAAATACTCACAAAGAAAAACAAACATAAGTATAATAGCAGAACACTCAAAAATGTGTAAATTTGTAAAAAAGGAAGTAAAAAAGGCAAGCAAAGCAATAAGTTAAAAGAATAGGAATAATGCTCTGTAATAGAACGATTAAAAAGATATAAGGCTAATGTGTGAAAGAAAGATAACTAATATTCTGCTAATAATTGCTACGAAATTAAAATACTGAGTCGCAGAACTAGTAGAACAAAGGTAACTAATATCTTGTTAATAATTACTATAAATACTAAAATACTAAGGCATCAAAAACAAATTTCTGGTCATGGTTTTAAATCAGATGAGCTGTCCGTAACGATAACCATAACCATATTCGGACTAAATATAACTAGATATGATGAAACAAGACTGAAAAAAAGAGAAAGACAAAGGAATTTAAAAACAGATCCAATGGGATAAAAAAAAAGATGAAAGCCGACAAAGATACAGAGGAAGATATAAAATTAATTGATATATAGAATGGAGAAACTAAATGTCGAGATAGAAAACTCTGGAATAAAATTTCTTCTGCACCTCCTAATGCACTTTCTAAGATGCATCCTAAACTATATTAAATAAAAACGACGGGCAATTCACCTTATCACCATCATCAACCTCTATGCGCCCACTGCTAGACATGTCTCCCTCAGCTCCTTTCATCTGTCTCTGTCTTGTTACTGCTGACACGCCTCAGTTCATCAGCCATCTGGTTGGTGGTCGTCATCTGCTTCACAGTACTTTTGGCCTTGGTCTGTTTATCGGTTGTCTGATAATCTGACGACATGTCCTACTCAATTCCATTCCAGAGAGACACCCAACATCTGGCGCTCCATAGCCCTCTTAGTCACGCGAAACGTATTCACACATTCGTCAAAAATTTTTCTTTTGAGACATATGGGTGGTCCTATTTAAATACATAGTTTAATTTACAAAACGCTGACCAGGCTAATTCTATGCGACGTCGAAGCTCACATGTATGTTTAACTGTGGCCAACCGAATTTCATGTCCAAAGTACTTATCTGTCTGCTGTCTGTACAATATCCGTTTCATTAACAGCAATATTTCGATTTAGCACCAGATTAGTCATTATGTACGTCTTGTTTATATTACTCTTTAGTCCAAGTCCAAAGAAGCGTGATATAATTTTTCAAACATTATATTGCATCATCCATACGATCGGCTATAAGGACGATTTCATCTGCAAATTTCAAATGATTGAACTTTTCTCCATTTATGTTGATACCATGCTCGTTCAGATCTGCCTTCTTACAAGTTAGTTACAAAAGCGTCGTGAACAACTTTGGAGAGATGGTGTCTCCTTGCTGTACTCTTTGCTGAATTTATTTGTTTCTTGTTCAGATTAGTCTTACGCTAGCTCTGTCATTTTGGTAGATATATTTGATTATGTTAGTATAGTGATGATCTATTCTGCGTTCTGTCAATGCATTTAACATTTTCTGATGGTTTATGGTACCGAATAGTTTCTCGTAATCCACGAATATCCTAGTGTCAATGGTTTGTTATATTCTGCAGACTTGTATATCAGGTTCTTTATCACTAGTAAATGGCTGTTAGTAATGAATCCCGATCTCAATCTAGCTTGTTCTCTAGGCTGATAGAAGTCTAACTTAGCATCCAGTGTTTTGTTGATAATTTTTGTGAAAAGTTTATATATTTGTTAAAGCAAACTGATAAGACGGTAGTTTTTTAGATCTATTATGTCTGCTTGCTTATTTAATAAACAATGCCTGCGTTGTTCCATTGAGAATGAGTTTTTCCTTGGTAAATGCATTCGCTGAAAATCCTGGCCAAAGCCTGGATAATTTTATTTCCACCTAGTTTAATTACCTCGATCACTACTTCGTTATTACCAGGGATTTATTATTTTTCATTTCCAAAAGAGGTGTTTTGAATTTGTATGGAGCTATTTCTGGCATTAATTCTAGTCCCTGCTTTGTGATCTTGGGCAGGGCATGATTTTGCCTTTCGTTAGTGCTCTCATACATTTCGCTATAAAGGGATTCGACAACCTCAGAGTTTTTTTTCTATCCTTCGTAATGTTTCCATCTTGGTTTCTTATTTTGTACATATTTTTGTTGTCATGTCATACATATTTTGTCTATGTTGTACGTATTTTTCCACAAAACTTTAACTCTTGTTTCCTTGAATTATTTCAGTTGTTTCTCTTGTATTGTTTACTCTTACGTTTTTTCGGATTGACTGGTGGATATCTTTATTTACTTTTTTTATTGTTGTGTAGTTGGAGCCGTATTTTTCCGTCAGCTCTCTTCTTTTAGTAATTAGCTCTTTGGTATTTTGGCTCAGTTTTTCTTTATGGGTCACAACGATCGAGTAGTACTTCCTTTCCGTTTCTTTTAGTGCCTTCGTTGTGTCATTATAAGCTAGATCTACATCTATTTCCTCTTGTAAGTCATGTATATGTATGGTTAGTGTATCTTCAAATGAGGCCTTGCTTTTGGAGGGGATCCATTTCTTTTTTGAGTTTTTAGGATCATCAGTGTTCTTTCCGATTTGTTGAGCACTTTGAGAAGTCTGCGTTTATTTATTTTCTGTTTGTTGCGATATAACCCATTTCATTTTTATACTGTTAAATTCACCGCACAAAATGGATGAAATATATTTTCGAAACAAATACTCGCCTATACACCTACAGGAAGATAGAAGAAAGGAAGACCCAAGAAAACATAGATGGAAGGAGTAAGAAAATCAATGAGCTCCAAAAAATTTAGAGAAGGACAATGGAACCACCGACATGAATGGAAATTGGACATCAAAAAACGTCCCAAAACAAACAGTCACAAAAAATTGTTCATTAAACGAGCATATACAGAGTGGCCCAAAAGTCTGGAAACGGCCAATTATCTCGTAAATTGCTAGTTATAATTGTACAAAATTTTAGGTACAGTTATTTTGGGATACGGAGATTCGATATTTGATATTTGCAATGTTGCCAGATTTTCCGTTTCTCTTATATTATTAGTAACTTTGGTTTTTTAAATGCACCACCTTGTATATTTAGTCATTATTAGAATCTCCTATTCAATACAATTTCAACCATATGTAACACATGATTTTATGTAGTCTGAAAGGTCTTAAATACATAAAACACAAGTCTGGCACCGCCTAATTGTTTCAATAAATTTTTTAATACTAATTATTTTCAACTACATTAAAACTTAACAATTGATAGATTAGAACATTTTTTAACAATAGTTACGTCGATAAAAAATGTCCCAATTGACTGAGTACCTACTATACCTGACGATACATTTAATTTTTGTGTTCTTTGAGTATGATTTTCACGTATTCAGTATGAATTTGCGTCACTCCAGTACCTTAAATTGTGTCGATTTACACTTCCACACAGTGTAAAGATTGCTTCATCGGAAAACATATTCTGTTAACGAAATTTTAATAATTTTCAATTTTATTCATCATTACCTCAGTAAACTCTAATCTAAGATCGAAGTCATCTTCACTTAATTCTTGCAATAAGTTTATTTTGTATGGTTTAAACTTATTTTTACGTAATATATGTAAGACTGAAGAACAACCTACATCATGTACTTGCGCAACCCTGCCTGAGGATGTATGTGGATCTTCAACAAAACTTTTCTCTTTCCATCTGTCTTTACCTTCTTCAGATTTCTCAAATCGCTTTACAGTTTTTTGTACCGTCGCCTTATGAATAGGAGAACGGTTTAGAGAACGGCATTTTAGAGAAGCAATTTAAATTGCAGAACTTTTCGAAACACAACTACTGTCAGTTTTAGTTTATAATGTAAATCGTGAAAAAATGTCAATATCACAGCATTCTACATTTAAATATTTAAATTTATTAAAATCTACATATTTTGCACTGTTTTATGTATTTAAGACCTTCCAGACTACATACAATCATAAGTGTTACATATTTTTGAATTCGTATTGAATAGTTGAACAATAGTTCATAGTTGAAGTTGAAGAATAGTTGAAGAATAGTCTCGTCTGAAATTCACACTGAATGCATGAAAACCATACCATACCACAAAAATTAAATGTATGATCAGCTATAGTAGGTACCTACTTAGTCAATTAGGTCATTTTTTATCGAAGGAAATTTAAAGTCAGATAGTTGGTGTAAATGTTCGGCGTTATTTAAATGAGATATTTTCCGTACGATAAATTGGTAGACAAGGTAGAATTGAATGGCCTCCACGTTCACCCGATTTCAATCCTAAAGATTATTTTTATTGGGGATTCTTGAAAAATTCAGTTTACAAAACTTAACCAGCCAAGTCTTGCAGAGCAAAGGCAACGAATTATCGATTAATCTCAAATAATTTCTAGACAATCATGGAGAAATGTGGTAGACGCATTCTACCATCGATTAGGGTACTGTTAACTCACAAATTGAGCATATTTTGAACACTTAATATCGTAACTATTGTTAAAAAATGGTCTAATCTGTCAATTGTTACGTTTTAATGTAGTTGAAAATAATTAGTATAAAAAATTTTATTGAAACAATTAGGCGTTGGCAGACTTCTGTTTTATGTATTTAAGACCTTCCAGACTATAAAAAATCATAAGTTTACATATAGTTGAACTCGTATTGAATAGAAGATTCTAATAATGACTGAATATACAGGGTGATGCATTTGAAAAACCAAAGTTACTAATAATATCAGAGAAACGGCAAACCTGGCAACATTGCAAATATCAAATATGGAATCTCCGTATCCCAAAATAGGTGCACCTCAAATTTTGTATAATTATAACTAGCAATTTACGAGATAATTGGCCGTTTCCAGACTTTTGGGCCACTCTGTATTTCTACCTGTTATATTTGGATAAAGAGAATGTACAGTCAACAACGACTGAAACAGAATAAGAGGCAGACAAACAGGAGTAATCCTAGTCGCACGAAGAAGAAAAAAAAGATATTTGAATAAGGATTCAATAGCTTTCTATCCGAATAATTAATAGCAATATCTCTCTGATAGTATAAGCTCAGTATTTGTTATTATTATATCTTGTTTATATTTAAAGTTTTAATATTAAGAGTTTAGATTATTAAACCAACATGATTGGTAATTTTTAATACTCTCAGGAAATAATGTTTTCCTTATAATTAAATATCAAATGATCTTATAGGGGTAATTGTAAATAACGTACTTATTATAAATTATTATAAATCATGACACTTTATTCTGTATTTGTAGATATCGTGACTGACAATAAAACTGCATAATTTAAATTGAATATAAAAAAAAGATAGGACAGTGAAGACTTGATTTCACGAATAGTCCCTTTGTATATTCCTCTATACGTATTTCATTCTAGCAGGAATTATCAGAGCGACTGGTACAGAAGCTGTAAACGTGAAAACAAATCTTTTCCATCAAAAGAAGCAACAAAATTTGGACGCTACATATAGCGACATCTGATTATAAATCTCAAAAGTAGAACTCCGAAGATTTCTATTGACGAAACCAAAATTCAAATTTTTGCTTTAATCTGTGCTTACTATAAATGTGCAAGCAAAATAAAGGATGCTAAAGATGTAAGAGAGATATGGAGGATCTAAAAGTTGCATGCCACAATATATCTTCTCATCTAAGCAAACATCTTTGGCGAACTGGTTTCTTATACTTATAAAGACTATACCGAAATAAAAGAAAGGACAGTTAGGATTTTGAGGTTACAATTAAGAGTAACTCAACGGGCCATGGAGAGGGCCCTGTTAAATATAAGCCTCGAGACAACACCGAAATACGTCGAAGAACTAAAGTAACAGACATCATGGTAAAAATAGCGACATTGAGATGGCAATGGGTAGCACATGTAGCAAGACAAGACACCAACAGATGGTCTCATAAAGTGTCATTCTGGTGACTTCGAGAAACAAAAAAAAAGCGTGGAAAGACCCAAAAAGAAATGGATAGACGATATAACAGCTATAGCTGGAAAGTAGTGGATGAGAATTGCAAAAGATAGGGAAGCGTGGAAGCAATTGGAGAAGGCCTATGTCAAATAATCGATAAATGAAGGCTGAAGAAGAAGAAAAAGTTATGATTTGATTTCATGTATAGTGCCTATGTATATTTGTTCATACGTATTTCCTGCTAGGATCCCGCATAAATGTTGATTAGCTATCTGAACTATGATAGTCCTCTCTACGCTAATTTCCATTACAAACTACTGCCAAAATATCGTCCATTAGTTATTCTTTCAATTTAAAACGTATTACTTACCTATAAGCCATTCTTCTACGTCTATCGTACCACCTCATTCTTTGTTCTTGTTCCTTTTCTTCGTCTACCCCAAAGAAATTTGCAGTTTCTTTTCGTATATATTTCTTAATGACCTCCTTCCTGCTCATCTGCCTATTAAGTGCCGGTCTCTCTCGATTAGGAAGTCTTTCGCTCTGTGAATACCCTATGGGTCTTTGCGGGGCTTGTGGTACAGGTCTCGGCCGTTCGGCAGGTGGAGCTGGTGGGAGAGATATCGCTCTTTGATGTACCGGCGTTCTGATGGGTGGAGAGGCTGCTTGAGGAGATTTGATGACCGGATTGCTCTCGCCGTTCGTGGCATAGTCTCCGCTTTCTTGTTTGACTGGTTCTGGCGGTGGAATTGGAGTAGTCGGCCGTTGTGTGGGTTGTTTTTGGGCGGGTGGCGTATGCGGCTGGTCTTGGGTTTTTGGTGGTTGTGTTGGCGGGATTGTTGATTGTGGCGTTCCCCTCCTACAAAAGAAAAAAATATTTTAATTTAAATAGTTGTAATCGCAAGAAATGAAGTTTAGTTAATTATATGTATATTTTTGAAAGATTATGCATGAGTATTTCAATCAATTTATTTTGGGAAATACTACAATTACTTTATTTTCTCTGAAAGCTGTCTTGTCTACACAAGTAGTACTGTAGCCATTTGGCTTATTTTATATATTTTAATAACCACTATACATCGTATTTAATTTCAAATAGACCAACTTGTCTAGCTATTAAATTTGGGATTATTATACAAGATATATAAAAAAATAAATCATAGCGATGAGTTATGTATTATTTATTACAAAAAAAAAAATGTATGATTTGTATTAAGCTCGTATTATGTTACTGTACTGTATTGGAATTTATGAAAGATCCTCTAACATAGTTTGTACTACAAATATATATTTTTTTCACACTTCTGCCAAATGGAAATCATTCCTGATCCAGAGCACAATCTGAAAAATTTTGATTTTTATATAAAAATAAACGGAACATGTAACACATTTTATCTATTAGTCTAGTAAACTAAGCTTAAAATAGGACCTTCTTCGGAAAAGACCGATTTGCATAAAAATTTGGGATTGAGTTCAACGTACCCGACATTTGGTTAAATAATGATTGTCTGATACTCTAACTAAATTGTTGACTATAACAATCCTTTAAAAATTCATTTTTAAGGCTGAAAGCCAGGGAAAGTAGAGAAAGGAGCAATTTAAGGAGATTAAAATTTGAATCGGATGATTTATTTTTAAACTTCATTTTCGCCATTGGTGTCGCTTGTTTCACCTTCTTCGTCATCTATTAATGGAGATCTACTACAGCAATTATCACCAGAACAACCAGAGCAAATTGGGTTACAAAATAATCCCAGTTATATCTGTCGGCATTTTTCAATCATTTTTAAAAGTTTTTTAGGAGCAGGCGACTTACAGAAAACAAAAAACACAGCTAACTTAAATTATTATGCTTACAATTGGATTTCTTTATTTTTTCCAAAAAAATATATTGGTTGTTTAATCAAAACTTTTTTATTTTTTACACTATTATCCTTTTAAAGGATAGGCTATTAATATCAATTCCTTTTAAAACAATCAGTTTCAAAGGGTTGGTAAACATAGTTTTTGCATTTTGCAAAATTTTCGCAAACCATATTTTTGGGAATTAAAAAGGCTACAATTTTATATATAAATATTTTTTTCGTATCTCTAATACTTATCTTTCTATTTTAAAGAAGAGAGCATTTTTTACCAAACTACAAAAATTCTTTATTCGCTTTTACCTCCATTTTTTAAAATCATTCTAAGGTAGGTAAACTTTTAGAGTGTATTAATATTACATCAATAATAAATTCTGAACAAGACCAACGACTAATTTTAGTTAGGGTGGTAATTAGGGGGTTGTTTCCGCTCACTTTCTCGTTGAAAAAAATAGGGACTGACTTTCTTTTCATAATAAGTCACTCAATGTGTATGTTAGAGATTTTTTTTTAAGAGATTGGTCTTTTGTTTTGATACTTTGAATTAATTTCTTTCAGTTATCCTCGAAAAATGCAAAGTTTTCCCGCCATTTTACTTTAAAACTCCAAAATTTAGTATTCGACGACGTAGAGTTAACCAATAATAAAGTATAGCTCGTTTAATAATGATCCTGAAGAAAATTAAAAAAAAAAGTTTTGTTTATTTTGTCAAAAGATATATTTTTGTTAATTACAGTTTTTTGATAAAACCAATTATTTTTAAGTTATTAGCAGAAAACACTGATTTTTTCGATAGAAAACTAACAGTTTGGATAGCGAATAAATCGAAGACTATTAATTTATCAAAAACAGTATTGAATATTTTTTGTTTAAAATTAATTTTTCTACCAATTTTTGTGGTTAAAATATAATAAAACATTTTCACCTAAGAGATGGAGAGAAAACCTGGGTTTTTATCAGGTACCAATGGTGTACACCATTTGCGGTAAATGTACAGGGTTACGCAATTGAACTGTTACCTATTCAAACAACCATAATATTTTTGTGTGAAATTATTTTTTATTGATTCAAATGACAAAAATGTGTGAAAATAATCAAAATTTCAGAATCCACTCACTTTAGCCCGATGTGGCCACCTTTTGACTTGACTATTGCCTTCAAATGATCAAAAAACGAATTGCATGCTGCACGAATGTAATCTTCCGGTATTTAGGCCCATTCACGTTTAATTGCTTTCTTCAGCGCGTCCATACTGGCATATTTTTTAGTCCTCACCTTGCTCTCCAAAATGGACCAGATCGAATAGTCCATCGGATTTGCGTCTGGCGAATTCGAAAGCCATTGTGTGGATGAAATGAACTGTGGAACATGTTTTTTTTAACGATTCTTGGTCCACACTAGCTTTATGAGACGGTGCCGAGTCTTGTTAGAACGTCCATGTTCTACAAGCGAAATGTTTGCGTGCCCACGGCTCTAAAGCAGCTTCTAAAATATTTTCCTGATAATAAGTTGCATTGACTTTGATACCCTATTCAATAAAAACCATTGGAGAGCACCCATTGGCGGTTACAGCTGCCCATACCATTACTTGAGATGGGAACTTACTGCGGGTAGCCGTTCGTAGACTCAAACTTTCGTATGTGCTTTCGGTCAAGTAAACACGATCATTTTGAGAGTTTATGAACTGCTCAATGGGGAAATTTTTCTCATCAGAGAAAACTATGTTCGGAAATTCGCCACGTTCGTACAGGCGTAACAATTCCTTTGCTATTTCAAGCCGAACTTTTTTTTGCTGCGGTGTAAGATTGTGTGCTTTTTGGAACTTGTGAGGCTTCACCTTGGGCTCGTTTTTCAGTATTCGTTGTTGGCTTCACTGGGATATTTTCAGTTCCTTGGCTATTTGATTACCACTACGACGTGGATTTCGCTCAAGTTGATCCCTCACTTTCCGAATCATTTCAGGTGATGTTGCTGTTTTTTTTTCGTCCACCACCATAGCGTTTTGCAATGTATCAGGATCATTATAACGAGTTATGGTGCAATACACATTTTATTATCGTTGAGGTGTTTGAGCTAACGAACAATAGCTGATTGTGATTTTTCTGCCAAATATAACGAAATCACACTATTACGTTTAAATTCCATTGCGAATAACTTTTGTTGTATATATAGAAAACTTAATGCAAATGCTTTTGACAGCTCATAAACAATATACTGAAGTATTATCAGGCCAACTTTGACTTAGCTGTCATTATCGATTTGCCAGATATATCGATGTGAAGTTGGTAACAGTTCAATTGCGTAACCCTGTATGTTCATTTGGTTCATTTGTTAATTTCGCAAAAAAAATTCGAGCCTTTGGCAGATCTATTTTATTTTTATATAAACTTTCTCATACCACTCCATAGTAACAGAGAGCGACCGAGACGTGTATTTCTAAACCAGTCATATACATTTGTGGCGCCATTGAACTTATACCTAGTAAATCGAGATAATGTTATGAAATAAGTTATAAATGTTTTAAAAGGTATCACTTTAATAAAAGACTTATAAACTGTACATAAAATGTGCTTCTTGCAAATTAAAAAAAATCAAATGATATTAAACCCTCACTACTTTAGTCTCAGTGCTCAAAGGTAATAGCTTGCCTTTTCCCGAAAGAAAATAGTTGTATTAAAAATTACAAGATACCAACGACATTCATGAAGCGCAACTTGTAGCAAGCCGACCAAAAAACTTTAAACAAAGAACACTCTTATAAATTCTTAAAAGAAGCTGGTTATTTTTAAGCTTTTATAAAAAATCAAAATGGATTTTTGTAGGTGGCTGCAATATTTAGCATTGTAAGGACGTATCATAGAGATGAGCTCCAAAAATTTAGCTTTAGTTTTAACTTTGCATTTGTTACATAAATATCTTTTACATCGATATGTTGTAAAATATATGTTTGTTGTACAAAAAAATATTAATTTTTGTGATGTGAATGACAATATAAAAATATTACTTTTACGTTTAGTCATGAAAGTGAAGCACTTATACGCCTATTTACTATTTAATTAGGTATATAGGTATATGGTGCATCATTTCATGTATATAAACATTTGACATGGAATAGGATTATAGTAAATGAAGGATTGTATCAATATTTTAATGAAAATATATATTTTTATTTTCATATATGTATAAAAGGAGTTGAATGCAAAAAATGTTTTTACACATACTCTGCAGTAAAATTCATTGTTTATTTTGTTATTAATATAAAAATTCCAATACAATAAATACACTGCAACATAATTCAATAAAATAATACAATATAAATTAAAATGCAATATTCATAAGTATTTAAAACTGCCAATATACATAACTTACTTTACGAAGATAAAAATAAAAAACCAATAACTCGGATTATGTTGTAAATTTTCATTTTATTTTAAATTTAGCATTTTTGCGTATATTGCATATATTTAATAAAATTAACGTGAGGTTTTTAAATATTTCAAAAATAAAAAAAGAAATTCATATTGGGATTCGAACTCATATACACCAGCGTATAAACCAAACACGTACAAATTTTCCAATTAGACATGACACTAGCGGATTTCAAAATTGACAGTAGTTCTCGGTCATACAGTGATTATTGTGAAATACAAAAGCCTAAAATAATTATGAACATTTAATAAATAATAGAAAACATATCAGACAAATAATAATAATAATAACATATATATATATATATATATATATATATATATATATATATATATATATATATATATTAAATACATATACAACAGGAACATTTTTATTATCAAGAGAAAGAGAGAGAAAATATATCTTCTGCCCCTCTCTTACTCATTATCTTACATATGTAATCGTTTCACAGATTCACCCCCGTACAAATTTCCAACGTCGAGCGCGCGTATAGAAGTATAACTTTAAAAAGACCTGTCTCGTTAAAATCCAAGGTATCTCTTTCATCTATATCCTGAATCATCTC